TTCTGGAAAATTTTTTTTTTGGGGCTTCCAGGCCCGCCTGCGCCCTGGCGAGTGGTCAGAGCCCGGCTGCAGCTGTCACATGCCTTGGCAGCCTGGGGGGGCCCAGCTGGGCGGGCCCACCGCCGCTGTCCTGCTGGGCGACGTGGGGACACGGCCAGGAGGGGCAGACGGGGACCAGAGAAGAAGCAGGTGACAGGGGCCCCTGGGGAGGAGTTGTTCACCGGCCTAGAGGGTTTTTGGTTTTTTTAAAAATTATTTTTTTTCTTGATTTCAGAGAGGAAGGGAGAGGGAAAGAGAGAGAAACATCAATGATGAGAGAGAATCATGGACCAGCTGCCTCCTGCACGTCCCCTACTGGAGATCGAGCCTGAAACCCGGGCATGTGCCCGGACCGGGAATCAACCATGACCTCCTGGTTCATAGGTCGAAGGTCAATCGCTGAGCAACACCAGCTGGACTCACCATTAACTTTTAATTAATATGTTTTTTAATTAATAGAACTTACACTTTATGATGTATAAATACATGAATTTATAGTTTATTCGTTTGTATTTTATGTTTTAGTTTTATAGAATAATTGAACGCATAGAGGGTTCCCATAACGTTTCACCGGTTACGAACTTCTTACATTAGTACGTTGGTTATAACTAAAGGATCAATATTGGTCCATTATTCACTAGAGTCCATCGTTGGCTCCGATTTCCGTAGTTTTTACCCAATAGCTCTTCTCTGTTCCAGGATCCCATCCGGATCGGATACCATGATATATTTTTTTAAATGCTTAGATTGATCTCTTTCTCTCCTTTTCTCTCTCTCTCGATAGGTTTACAATATGTTCCAGCACCAGACCCTGGGGATTAAGGTGAACATCCAGGTCACCAAGCTCGTGCTGCTGCGACAGCGCCCGGTGAGTCCCGTCAGCGCCGCACACAGGGGATGTCCCGGCTCTGGCAGCTCCCTAGGAGCCCAGGGGGTGTCTGGCTTATCCAGGCTCCCAGGCTCTGCAGGTGGCATCCGTGTGCCCGGGGCCAGGGACCCGGATGTCCGGGGAGAGGAGGGTACATGCCGGTCCTGGAAGCTGGGGGTGCAGCCGTCCGCTTAGAATCTCGAGGGCACCCTGAGCAGGGGCCTGAGCGCCCCCCTCCTCCGCCCGGCACGTCTCAGCAGAGCAGACTGTGGTGGCGGCGAGGTCTCTGGCACCACGGCCGCCCTCCTGTCGCTCTCCCTGGGCTTCAGCACGTATTTGGAGTCCCCGTGGCATCGCTCTCTGGCGTTTTGGTCCAGTGCTTCCCTGGGACACTCCCACGGCCAGGCAGGGAGGGTGACCGGAGGGGTCGATGCTTGGTGGGCGCATGCTGTTCAGTTTACCGAAAAGAGCACTTGTCCTTTTTTTTAATATATATTTTTATTGATCTCAGAGATCAATGTCTTTTATTGGTTTTGAGAGAAAGAGGAAGGGAGAGGGCTAGGGAGAGGGAAACATCGATGAGAGAGGAACATCGCCGATCGGCTGCCTCCTGCACGCCCCCTGCTGTGGATCGAGCCCGCAACCTGGGCATGTGCCCTGACCAGGAATTGAACTGGCGACCTCTTGGTTCCTGGGGTGATTGATGCTCTACTGCTGAGCCACACCAGTCGGACAAAGAACACTTTTCTGTAATAACATAGTCTGGCCCTGGCCGGTTGGGCTCGGTGGATAGAGTGTCGGCCTGCAGACTGAAGGGTCCCGGGTTCGATTTCGGTCAAGAGCACGTACCTCAGTGGCAGGCCCGATCCCCGGCCCTGGTTGGGGCACGTGTGGGAGGCAACCAATCGATGTGTCTCTCTCACATCGACGTTTCTCTCTCTGTCTCTCCCCCTCCCTCCCACTCTCCTAAAAACCAGTGGAAAAATATCTTCGGGGGAGGATTAACCAAAAATAAACAGCATAGTCTCCATCTGAACGTATACGCAGACCCACAGTGGCCTGTCTGCGTCTCTGCGTCCACCCACCAGCGTTAGGTTTGTATTCGGGGAAGCGTGTCCGGAACGACGACCCAGCAGGCAGCTGTGTCCGCCTCACACTGTAGTCTGAGCACCAACGCCGGCTTCCCTGGGGCCTTGGCTTCTCTCAATGCCCGCCCCCCCCCCCCCCCGATTTCTTTTAGGCCAAGCTGTCCATTGGGCACCACGGAGAGCGGTCCCTGGAGAGCTTCTGCCACTGGCAGAACGAGGAATACGGAGGCGCCCGGTACCTCGGCAACAACCAGGTGCCCGGAGGCAAGGACGACACGCCCCCCGTGGACGCCGCCGTGTTCGTGACCAGGTAACGTGGGAGGCGGCCTGCACCCCCAAACGTGCTTGGGGAAAGCCGTTTCCCGTGGGAGAGGGAAGAAGGCCTTTGGCTAGGAATTCGGGCTTGGCCATCGGACCGAGGGCCACCTGTGCGAGCCTCAGTATCCTCATCCGGGCAGTGGGCATCACAGCAAAAATGTGGAGGCGACCTCCGTGTCCATGAGTGGGTGAGTGGATACACAGAAGGTGTCTCTCTCACATCGATGTTTCTCTCTCTCTCTCTCTCCCCTTCCCGTCCACTCTCTCCAAAAATCAATGGAAAACATCCTTGGGTTGAAGAGTAACAAAACAAGAAAAAAAAATGGTACAGATGCTGAATTTCGTGTTCGATGTGTTCGGCCACAATTAAACATGCTTAAGAATGTCCTTTCCACCTGAGCACATTCTGGGGTGCTGATTGCACGCGGGGGGTTCTGAGTGGGGGTGCTGGGCAGGGGGGAGACTGGAGGTTAGAAAAGCAAGATTTCTTTTTCTTTTTTGTAATCCTTACCTGAGGCTATTTTTCCATTGGTTTTTAGAGGGCGTGGAAGGGCAGACGGGGAGTGGGGGACAGAGAGAGAGAGAGAAACATCGATGTAAGAGAGACACATTGAGTGGTTGCCTCCCACACACACCGTGACTGGGGCTGGGGATCAAACCTGCAACCCAGGTACGTGCCCTTGACCGGGAATCGAACCCAATACCCTTTGGTGTGCAGGCTGTCACTCTAACCACTGAGCAACCGGCCAGGGCAAGTTTTCTTCAGCCGCAGGCAGGGCCCGCCGAGGCCCGCCGAGGGCTCTGACCTGCCGCCAGCCCAGGGCTGCCCTTCTCTTTCTCCCTTTGGTGCTGGCACCTCCTGAGCTACCTGCGCCATCCCCACTCCGCCCACTGCTGCGGGGCTGCTGGGCCTACAGGACTGGCGTCTGCCCGCCCCGTCAAGTCCTCCGTGCCCTCGCGGATGTGAAATTAAAGACCTCCCAGCAGCCGGGGGAGGCGGTGTGAGAGTGGGGGCGGCCGCCAACTTGGCCGAGAGGCATTGTTTAATAATTAGAGGCTGAGAGCCGCAATTCCCCGGGTTGGATAATAACAGGCTGATGTTTTCGCACGGAAATTGGGTGTGAGGCCGCTGCTGCGCCGGGAAGCCGCTCCTTCCTCTCGGAGCGATCCGGCCAGGGCCACGCAGCCCTGCGTCCTGGGCCCCAGGCGAGGTGTCTTCTCTTTTGTGTCCCCCTCCCTGTCCCTCATGGGCTGAGCCCAAGACCTGGACGCCCACCAAACCTGCAGACGGCCAGCCGCGGGGAAGGGAGCGCAAATGACATCATGGCCAGCAGGAGCCACCGAGCAGGAGCGGCGGGAGCTGGGTTGTCAGCAGCTGCGGCCAGGGCTGGGGCGCCAGGGCACCCCCGAGGGGACCGAGTCGGGGGCTGGGACAGAGGACTGGGACCCAGGCGTCCATTCCTCACCCGGCGTTACCTGTGACTCTATCTCCCCCCAGGCCCCAAGCCCTCCGTCCCCCAAGAGCAGCCAGAGGCCAGGATGAGTCTCTGTACCTGCAGGATGGGGATGGGGTCAGGTTTTGAGTAGCTTCACTCTTTCTCTTTTCCACCACCACATCCCTGGGGGGACCAGGGGAGCTTTAAAGAAATATATTCAGGAATGACTTTGGCCGACGTGGCTCAGTGGTTGAGCATCGACCTATGAACCAGGAGGTCACGGTTCCATTCCCAGTCAAGGGCAGGGTTGTAGCCGATCTATGATTCTCTCCCATCATTGATGTTTCCATGACTCTCTCTCTCTCTCCCTTCCTCTTTGAAAAAAAATAGATATATTTAAGAAAAGGAATGACTTTTGGGTTGCCTTCTGGCTCCAGCATCTAAACCCCAAGGCTGCCCGAGCAGAGTCGCTGGGGGAAGTCACTGTAGGTTGAGCGTATGGACCAGTAATTGTTTCTGACCCGTGACTTGGCACGCGTTTTCTCCCCAAATGCTTTCAGCTGTTGGAAGGAGGCCCTCCAGCCACCGAGTGTTCGGTGTGGACGAGTTTAGCTGGAAAAGGGGGGTCCTGGGTGGGTAGGTGGGGGTTGCACTGGGAAATGCAGATGAGCTGCTATGGACAAGCCCTGCCGTTCATGACTCTTCATCGTCTCCAGTGACAAGTAGAGCAATGACGTCGCGATGGGCGGGATGACTCTCAGCGTGGACAGTGTGTGCTCCACCCCCCCGTTCTGCATGCACCTGACTGCTGTTCCGTTTTCTTTGTAGGACAGATTTCTGCGTGCACAAAGACGAACCGTGCGACACCGTCGGTAAGTTTCGAGTTAAAATGATAATCGAAGGGGGCCGCTACATCCCCTTCGATACTTCGTGCCTTTTCCGTCGCCTCTTTTCTTGTAGGAATGAATCATTTGATTTTATTCTGCTTATTTTTCCAGAGAAGTGTTGACAGTTCTTATGGCAGGAGGCGTCCGGACAGAGGGTTAATAAGGAAGATAGGAAATGTTAAGCCAGGGGAGGGACCACGGGGGGACCCCGAGGTGACTGTGGGGCGCATTTGTTTCTGAGCCTCTCGGCCACCAGTGCCGGGGGCGGGGGGAACCCCCTGAGTTAACGCGATTGTCATGAGACAGAGCTTACTGGTTTGTTCTCATGCCCACGGATGGTTTTCCCCGTGCGTCCTGGGTGAGGTGTGACCGGGGTGAGCCCTGGCAGCAGCAGGCTTTGCTTTCCGGTCAAATAGCAACGCTACCACCAGCCCCTGCTGCTGGACAAACACATTTTCCTTCTACCCTCCCTCCCTCCTCTTCCTCCTCCTTCTCCCCCCGCACCCGCCCCCCCCTACTTGCCATTTCCTCTCTCCCCTCCCCGGGTGTACCGGCTGCTCGTAGGCTTCAGATGGACCCATTCTTTGGGCATCGGAATAGACTGCGAGGTTCACAGGGACCCCTAGAGGGGTTTCGATGAGGTCAGCGATCGCCCAAACCTCTATTCCCGAGGAGGTCACAATACGGCGCCGCCGCGTGCGAACTTCTGAACCTGCTGTGCTTAGCGTTGTAGGAACACGGGCTAGGCCTGGGCAGTGTATGCCCTGGTGGAATTCACATGTTCAAAACCCGGGCTTCCCTTGGAGTCCCCGTCGCGTCTCCTCTCCATCCTTCCCTCTGGCTTTGCCACGTACAAGCCGGAGATTTTGGTTAAATCCTCATAATCCTTGCCCTGGCAGGTTTTGGCTCAGTGGGTAGAGCATCGGCCTGCGGACTGGAAGGTCCCAAGTTCGATTCCAGTCAAGGGCACATATCTGGGTGGCAGGCTCGATCCCCGGCCCTGGGTGGGGCTCATGTGGGAAGCAACCAATAGAAGTATCTCTCACATCGATGTTTCTCTCTCTCTGACTCTCCCCCTCCTTTCCGCTCTCAAAAAAACAAACAAAAAACTTTGTAATCCTTAAAATGACCACTTTAAAGGGCACTTTAAGGCCCTTTGAGATCTAGCTACCGGTGACAGCTGCCATTGATGTCACCTGTTAGAGTCTTTAAAGGTTGTCCTCCGCCCATCCTCTAAACAGACCTGGGAGCCAGATGTGCTTCCTCTTTGGGGGCCGTGTCCGTAACGAGTGACTAGACTTTTCAGTGTGACATCGGCCTTGATAGAGGGACCGCTGACACCCGTCTCAGTCTGGCTGGGGCTGTCAGTGACCAGTCCATGCTGACCTCTGTCCACTGACAGGGCTGCCCAGGCGGGGGCTGTCCTTCCCCGTGTCCACGACTCAGCGTGGACGGCCACCGCTCTTCCGTCTCTGCTCCACCCTCCTGCTCACTGAGCTTGTCCCCCTGGAGGCACTGGTGCCTCATGTGCCTCAGAGGACTCTGCACTACACAGGCACGGGCTTTACCCGTGTGTCGTGTCCCTCAGCGCCTGGCCCAGGGCTTGGAAACCTTAGTCCCCACTAATGATGACAGGATGAGTGATTGAATGAATGAATGATTGATTGAATGGACAAATGATTGAATGAATGAATGACTCAATAGGAATGAATGATTGGTGGAATGGATGAGAGAATGATTCAATGACTAGGAATGAATGAATGATTGAATGAATAGAAATGAATGAATGAATGAATGATTGAATGAATAGAAATGAATGATTGAATGAATGAATATGGAGGAACTCCAGTGTGTCCAACCAACGTGCATCTGGTTGTATGGTTTTCTCTCATATGACTCAGAGCTGGCTTTTGTTTATTCTCTTCTGAGTACATAACCCTCATCTCTGCCCTGAGCTGTGAGGATGTGCTGTATTCCAGTTGGCGGGAGAACCCCCCCCCCAGTCCCACGTCCTCCCGTCCCCCCACCCCATCCGCCCTGAGAAGCTTCTCTGTCCTCTCTCACTGGGGCTGTTGGACCGTCCAGTTCTCCGAAGGGCGCAGTCTGTCCAACCCGCAGCCCTTTCCTGTTCCCACGGTATTCCACGGTCGATTCCATGAAAACGATTAGTGTTTTTGGTGTGGTTTTTCTTTTCTTTCTATTTTTTGGGGTGGGAAATGCCAATTCCACTTAACACTTCTTCCTCCAAGTTCCCACTGCCGTTCTCTAGTTTGGTTTCATACTCTTCCAGTATTTTCTATTGTGTCCTGTCTCCTGGACCCCATGGTTACAAAATCAAACCGGACCTAACAGCTGTGCGGGGGCTGTGCCAGGGGGCCTGGGGAGCGCCACGGCCTCTCCTCTCCACCTTGGCCGAGCCACTGATTAAATGGAAGGGTTCCCGGAGCCACAGGGCGAGGGGACCGGCGGGAGCCCCTGGGGCCGGCCTCACGGGCTAGTTGCAGCATTTCTCCTGCCACCGAGCGCCAGCTGCCAAGATAAACATACGTTTGGAGATCAAGTGGGAACCCCCAGAGGTTTTCATCTTGGAAAAATAAATCTGGAAGTGTTGGGCCAAGAAGCCCTTTGCGTCCACACCCGGATCTGCTCAGCCTGCGTGCGAACGTCGGAGGGAGTGGAGAAGGCAAGGATGCTGGCGAGGGCGCCGGGGAGGCCGGGCACGGCGCGGAAGAGGGGGCTCCGGGCGGAAGCCCCCGGCGCTGCTGCTCCCCAGTGTGTGCCCTGGGGCCCATCCCCTTCACCGCCCGTCTGCGGCATCGTGGCCGGCCCCCCGCGTGCCTGCGGTGAGGCCAGGATGAAGCGTGCACACAAGCACATGGACAGCGTGTGGCACAGCGCCCACCGCCGTGGGAAATGGTGGCTGTGGTTTTTATTAGCCGTTTCCCGAAGCTGACCGGCCGTAGCAGGGTCTTAGTTTCAGAAGGAACCTGGTACTTACAATCAATCAGCAGTTCTTGCCCCCTCTACCTTCAGAATACAGTTGACCCCTTTTTTAAAAAAAAATTTTATTGATTTCAGAGAGGAAGGGGGAGAGAGAGAGAGGGAGAGAGGAACATCAATGATGAGAGAGAATCATGGATCAGCTGCCTCCTGCACGCCCCACACTGGGGATGGAGCCCGCAACCAGGGCATGTGCCCTGACCAGGAATCGAACTGTGATCTCCGGGTTCATAGGTCGACGCTCAACCACTGAGCCATGCTGGCTGGGCCAGTGGACCCTTTTTAAAATATATACATTTTTATTGATTTCTCATCATTGATGTTTCTCTCTCCCTCTCCCTTCCTCTCTAAAATCAATAAAAGTATATTTATTTTTTTAAAAAAATATATTTTATTGATTTTTTACAGAGAGGAAGGGAGAGGGATAGAGAGTTAGAAACATTGATGAGAGAGAAACATCCATCAGCTGCCTCCTGCAAACCCCCTACTGGGGATGTGCTCGCAACCAAGGTACATGCCCTTGACTGCAATCGAACCCGGGACCCTTCAGTCCACAGGCTGATGCTCTATCCACTGAGCCAAACCGGTCAGGGCTATATTTATTTAAAGAAAAAAAAACTCAGGAGAAAGCAGAAAAAGAAGACCCTTTGAGACAAGATTTAGGGAGTTCAGGAAAAGCAGGCACCTGAGCAGCCAAGCTAGCGACCCAAACGCCGCCTGCCCTGAGAAAGCCCCGGGCATGCTGGGGAATGACTCATCCTGTGCCCTCAGCTCCGGTGCAGGCCATCCGATCCTAAGGAAGAGATCAGCCAGGAAGCCCGTAGAAAGGTGTGGTTGGGCTGCACATGGTCCCCGTCAGCAACGGCCTGGTCCCCGCCTCCAGGCCCCGCCAGGCCGGCGGATGAGGGTGCCAGCCACTCCTGCACGCCCGTGTCCAGTTTCCGCGCAATTCCAGTGGCGGGCGGATGGAGTCAGGAGCCAGGGCGCCCCGGGAAATGTCTCTAATGGAATGAGAAGACCCAGACACTTGGACGGAGGGTCCCTGGCAAGAGGCCTTACACCGGCCGCTCCATTAAACTCTTCATTGGCTTGTCTGAGGGTAAGTAGCTGTGCCCTTGGGATTGGATGGTCTTTGCTACGAGGCCTGAGGTCAGGAACACAGCGCTGGAAACAGTGAGGCACGCTGTCCAGAGACACGGAGCCACGTGAATCCCCGAGGGAAGTGCTGATCTTGAAGATGGCCTCCGATCCTGCCTCCCTCCCCTCGGAAGTGTGGGCTCCTCCAATGGGGAGGTTTTCCGCCTGCAAAATGCCTCCTGGTGCCAACAAGAGCTTTCCCCGCGGGGGGCAGGGGGGGCTGCCTTCTAAGACCTACCTTGTCAGTTCCTCCTCCCCCTTCTCCTCCCCACAGACCATTCTCGCCCCCTTGCTGCTGCAAGACAAAGGGAAGGCTTCCTAAGTGGGTCACCAGGCGGAGTCCGAACACCTGTGTCTCATGGGGGTCAGGAAACACAGATACGTTCCGTGTGTGTGTGTGTGTGTGTGTGTGTGTGTATTCAAATTTTTTGTTTTGCCCAGCAGTGAGTTCATAGACCGTTGACCTATGAACCAGAGGTCACCGGTTCGATTCCCAGTCAGGGCACATGCCCAGTTGCAGGCTCGATCCCCAGTAGGGCGCGTGCAGGAGGCAGCCGATCAGTGATTCTCTCTCATCATTGATGTTTCTCTCTCTCCCCCTCTCCCTTCCTCTCTCTCTCTCTCCCTCTCCCTTCCTCTCTCTCTCTCTCAAATCAATAAAAACTTACTTAAAAATAAAAAGGGAAGTGAGTGCCCAAGGCAGCCAGTGCGGACAAAGCTTTCTGTGTCCTCCTGTGGCCGCTCCGGAACATGTGAGTCCAGGAGAAGGTTCAGGCCGATCAGAGGGGACCCCGGGAAAACAGTGCCCTTTCCCCGCCTTTGCACTTGGGGTGAAGAGCGGGGCCGGG